GCGTCCGTGGCGGCCGCGGCGGCCGCGGCGTTGCCCGCCGGCTGGTCCGCGGCCGTGGACCCGACCTCGGGCAACACGTACTACTACAACGGCGCGGAGACGCGCTGGGACGCGCCCACGGCCTAAGAGCGATGCGGAGCGTCTTCGCCACAGGTGCCGTCTCTCCACCTGCAGGTTCCTCGCGCGCTCGGGGTCGCACGTCGACGTGGCAATGTTGACGCACGAGTCCTTCAGGTGGATCTCCGCGGCCTTGTTATATAGGTGCAGACCGCGCCCTCGGGCAGGACGCCGACGACGGCAGCGCGCGCGCGCCGCCACAGTCCGACGCCAGAATCGACTCGAGCGGAGAGCTGCTGCTTCACAAGGTTGAACGCGCAATCCACGCTGCCGACGGCGGTGAGCGCCGCGCACGACGCGAAGCATGACGACGTCGAGGACCCTGTCGACGGCTAGACGACCAGTGGTGATCGCGTTGGCCCTCTTACTCCGAACGTCGGCGCTGCTGCGTCCCGCCCAGCGCTCGACGCCGTTTCGCCACGGCAAAAGGAGGCCAGTGCGCGCGTCGACCTTCGACTCGGAGACGGCGCCGCGGCTCGAGGCGGCCGCCCCGCCCCTCGCCAACGGCACGGGCACGTTTCTCGAGCTCGAGGTGCCGGACCTCGCGCCCGCGCCACCGGCGGCGCCGCGGCCGCGGGTCACGGCCGCGTACCTCAAGCGGAAGCTCTGGACGAAGCTGGACTTCGCGCACTCGCACGCCGTGAGCGGCGCGGCCTTCCTCGCCCTGGGCGTCGGCTGGCTCGGCGCCGTCGCGCGGGGCGAGGCCGCGGGCGCCGTCGAGGCCGGCGCGCGCATCCACGGGGGCCCCGCGTCGCTCGCGATCCTCGCCGTCGGCGTCTGGAACAGCGTCTCCGCGCTGCCCATGGCCTCGGACGAGCGCGTCTACGTGACGCGGGACCTGGACCGCTACCACGCGCTCGCGTTCCGCTGGGGCGGGTCCGCGCAGCTCGTCGCCTGCGCGTGGCTCTCAGGGCAGGAAAGGGTGATTCAACGTCGCTTCAACGTGAGTGTTCCGCGCGCGCGCGTTCCGGGAAAAAAGCATCCACGCGTCGAGAGCGCTCCGAGAGATGATCGCTCGTCCAAAAATTAGCCGAAACGAGCGGAAAACGACCGAGATGGGAGCCTTTGAAGTTGGGAATTTCGCACTCTTTTCCTGCCCAGGTGGCTCTGCTGGTGGTTCTCGGGCCTCTACCCGGCCTTCGTGCCCGGCGTCGTCGACGGGGCGCTGTGCCTCGCGGCCATGGCGTCCATCGCCTGGGTCATCTACTTCTCCGAGGAGAGCATCGCCGTCGTCGACCGGAAGGTCGCTGAGGGCGGCTTCGTCCACGGGAAGCGCGCGTCCGAGCTCACGGCGGGCGAGCACGCGCAGCTGAGCGCGCTGGCGCGCCTCGGCTCCTACCCGAACCTCTTCCAGCTCCCCGTGCTCGCCAACGTGCTTTTAGGCGGGCGGCCGTGGCTCGACCGCGTGCTCGACGAGTTCCCGCACCAGTCGGCGCTGCTGCACCACTACCTCTTCGCCTGCGCCCTGTCCTACGCCATCACCTTCTTCGCGACGACGCTCCGGGACCGCAACGTCATCGGCATCACGGCGGACCTGGCCATGCTCGCGACGGGCACGGCGCTGCCGTTCCTGACCATGTTCGTCGACGTCGCCGCGTTCCCCGCGGCGACGACGCTGAACCCGCTGGACTACAACGTCGGCTTCCTGTAAGACCGATGAAAATAGGTGCTAGAGGAGGGCTGCGGCGGGGGGGGAGCGCGCGGCGGCGCGGGCCGCTCACTCGAGGGGCTCCGCGAGCCAGAGCGGCTGGCGGAACGCGTGCTTGTAGACGGCGCCGTTGGCGACGTGCAGCGCCCGGGGCAGCGTCGCCGTCGTGTGCGCCTCGCTGAGGACGGCGATGCCGTGGCTCGCGACGGCGTCGGCGGCGGCGGCCGCCGCCTTCGCGTCGACGGCGCCGCCGTCGAAGGCGTCGGCGCCGCTGATGGGCCCCGTCGTCGAGTCGTAGGCGACGACCTTGGCGCCCGGCGCGAGGAGCGCCGCGCAGGCCCGGAGGAGCTTGGCGTCGCGGACGTCGACGGCGTGCGCCGCGGCGAGGGCCCCGCGGCGCGCGGCCGCGCCCTCGGCGTCGAGGAGCGCGTTCACCGCCGGCGCGTCGATGTTCGCCGCGTCGACGAGGAGCAGCGACGGCGCGCCGAGGTCCGCGACGACGCCGCGGAACGTCGGCGTCCGCGCGAACGCCGCGGGCGCCGCGCAGACGGCGCCGAGGTTCTTCAGCACCTCGACCGCGTCCTCGGCGTCGGCGACGTCGGCGCCCACGAGGCTCACGAGGGACACGCCCCGCGCGGCGCAGAGCTGGGCCGCGACCTGGCCCACGGCGCCCTCGCCGCCGAGGTGGAGCACGACGTCCCCGGCGACCGCGCCGTCGAGGAGCGCCGCGGCGGCCGCGGCGGCGCCGAGGTGCGCGGCCTGCGCCGGCGGGATTGTGGGCGGCACCTTGACCAGGGCCTTGGCGTCGATTTTGACCGTCGCCGCGTCGCCCCAGGCGCACCGCAGCGTCGGCGCGAAGACGAGGTCGCCCTTGGCGAGGTCGCCCTCGGCCTGCTCGACGACGCCCGCGGCGCCGGCCATCTCCGGGCCCTTGATGGGCGCCGACACGAGGCGCAGGGTCGCGAGGGACCGTCGGGAGGCCGCGCGGGCAGCCAACATGGCGTCGACGACGGCCCAATTCGAGCCAAGGAGTTGCTCAAGTGCGAGGCTCGCCCTTCTCGAGAGCTCGTTGCCACAAGAGCATGGAGGGCATGCAGACGGCGACGCCGCAGTACGTCGCGCCGCAGCCCGCGGCGGCCTACGCGGCGCCCCAACTCGTCGCGCCCGCCGCCGTGCCGCCGCCGGCGGCGAGCCCCATGCAGGTCGACACGCCGCCGCCGCCGCTGGCGCCGTCGAGCCCGCGGACGAGCGACGCCGGCGACGGCGAGAAGCCCAAGGGCGGCGGCGTCGAGAGCCTGCTCATCCCCAAGGCCGCCGTGAAGCGCATCATGAAGCTGGACCCCGAGGTGAACCAGGTCGCCAACGACGCCGTCATCCTCGTCGCCAAGGCCACGGAGATGTTCCTCGAGAAGTTCTCCGCCGAGGCGCGAGCGCAGGCGACGCTCCGGAGCCGGACGACGGTCAAGTACGAGGACATCGCGGACACGGTCTCCGGCGACAAGAACTACGAGTTCCTCGCGACCGTCATCCCCAACGGCCCCGTGGGCCGCGGCATGCCGCTCGAGCCCGCGACGGCGAACGGCACCGCCGCGCCGGCCGCGCCGAACCTCGCGGCGCGCCTGCCGCCGCCGGCGGTCATGCCCCTGCCCGTCGCGCCCCTGCCCCTGCCCGTCGCGCCCCCGCCCGCGCAGCTCCACGCGACGCCCGCCCCCTAGCGTTGAAGGGAAACGTCGCGGGTAAGTGAAGGCATATATCCGGGGCGGGCAGCGCCCACTTCTGCCGCTGGTTTCTCTCGCAGAGCGCGGCGGGTCGCCGGGGCACGGCACGCGGGCGGCGCGGGCGCGTCGTCCATGGCGCGCGTCGTGGACGTCAAGTCCTTCGACTCGTCCATCGGCGGGTCCTTCGACGACCTCGCGGCCATGCGGCCGACGCGCCCGTCGCCGCGGGCCGACGGCCACGGGGCGCCGCAGCTCGCGCCGCTCCCGCGGTCGCGGAGCGGGCGGGGCGAGGCCCTGCTGCTCGACAGCCTGTTGAGCGGCCTCGAGGCGGCCGTGGGCGCGCTCGAGGCCTACGGGCACGACGGCTCCGGCGACGCGAGCCGCGCGCGGCGCCTCCGGAGCTGTGCGAGCCGCGCGGAGGCGCTCGCGTCCCCGGCGTCGCCGCGGGCCTACGTCGACGGCCCGTCCATCGGCGCGGAGCGGGCCGAGCCCGCCTTCCCCGCCCCGGGCAGCCCGGGCGCCCGCGGCGCCGCGCTGCCGCCCGTCGACGGCCGGAAGCGCGCGTCCTACGCCGTGCCCTCCGCGCTGCCCCCGAGCGACCCGCCGCCGGCGGGCGACGCGCCGGCGCTGCGGTCGCCGACGCGCGAGGAGCGGAAGAAGCTCCACCGCAACGAGCTCGTCGAGCGCTTCCTGTCGCTCGACGAAAACGGCGACGGCGAGGTCACGGCCGACGAGTTCGCGCACGCGCTGTCGCGGGCCGCGTGGAACTCAAATCTTCAACCCGACTTCAATCTGCGCGTCATCGAACGGTTCGGACCATCCCCTTCGGCTGCGCTTCGAGAAGTCGACGAGAGCCATCGATTCGTCCAAACGTCAGCCGAATCGACGTCGATTCGACCGAGCTCGAGAGTTGTGAAGTTTGGTGGGGACGTCCCAAACCAGTGGTTGATTTCCGCACAGGTCCCAGGACGGGCTGACCTTCAAGGAGGCCAAGGCCCTCTTCGCGTCCGTGGACGAGAACGGCGACGGCACCATGGACCAGATGGAGTTCATTTCGCTGGTGGAGAGCCGCCACCCGCTGTTGAGCAAGGTCGCGTGGGCCGCGGATCTCCAAAAGTACTTCGCGGACGACGCGTGGGACGACGACGGCGTCGCCTGGGTCGACCCGAACCGGCGGCCCTGGCTCATGCTCTCGCCCAACGACAACTTCCGCATGTGCTGGGACATCGCGACGGCCGTGCTCCTCGTCTACGTCGCCATCGTCGAGCCCAGGGCAGCACAAGAGAGCGAAATTCCCGACTTCAAAGGCTCCGATCTCGGCCGTTTTCCACTCGTTTCGGCTGATTTTTGGACGAGCGATCGTCTCTCGGAACGGTCTCGAAGCGCGAATGCTTTTCCCGGAACGCGCGCGCGCGTAAGACTCACGTTGAATTGACGTTGAATCACCCTTGTGCCACCCAGGTCGAGCCGCTGCGCCTCGGCTTCGACCTCGACCCGCCGCGCGCGTCGTTCATCTGGTTCATGGACTACATCTGCGACGGCTTCTTCGTCGCCGACTTCGGGCTCAACTTCCGCACGGGCTACCTGCGGCGGGACACGGGCGCGCTGGACATGGACCCGAAGCGGTCCGCGCTCTACTACTGCCGCACGTGGGCGTTCCTCGACTTCATCTCGTCCGTGCCGCCGATCCTGGAGATTTTGGTGGGCAACGGCATGACGGCGCTGCGGTCCGCGAAGATCCTGAAGCTCGGCCGCGTCATGAAGCTCGGCAAGATGTTCCGTTTGGCCAAGTTCATGCGGTTCTCGCAGGACACGGCGTTCGGCGAATTCGTCGAGGACTTCTTCGCGTCGTCCAAGTCCAAGGCGCTCCGGCGCATCTTCCAGGTGCTTTTATCTTTCGCCATCCTGGCCCACTACCTCGGCTGCATGTTCGCCGTCGCGGGGCACACGCACCTCCGCTACTACGACCCCGCGGGCGACCCCGCGGGCGGCGGCGCGTCGCGCGCGGCGAACGGGTGGACGACGCAGAAGAAGTACCTCGCGTCCGTCTACTGGGCCGTGACGACGATGACGACCGTGGGCTACGGCGACATCGTGCCCGTGACCCACGCCGAGCGCGTCTACACCATGGTCGCCATGGTCGTCGGCGGCGCGTGCGACGCCGCGCGGAACTCGACCGCCGGTTCGGGACGTCCCGACCACACTTTGACATGCTCGAGCTCAAATCGACGTCGATTCGGCTGATGTTTGGACGAATCGATGGCTCTCGTCGAGTGCTCGACGCGCGGCCGAAGCGTCCGGCGTCATCCGTCCGACGACGCGCCCATTGACGTCGGGTCGCAGATGTGATGTCCGCGCAGGTTCTACGGCTACGTCGTCGCGCAGGCGACGTGCATCGTCAACGCGTACGACGCGCGCAAGGGGCCCTACTACGCGAAGATGGACCGCATCCACTCCTGGCTCAACTACCACCAGGCGCCGCTGAGCATCCGGAGGCACGTGCGCCGCTACTACCGCACCTACTTCTCGCACAAGACGGCCTTCGACGAGGCGGCGATCTTGGACGACCTCGACCCGGAGTCGCAGCGCATGATCGCGGACCACGTCCTGCCGTCGTGCATCCGGCACAACGAGCTCTTCGAGGTGCTGCCCAAGGGCGCGCTCTGCAAGCTCGTGCCCGTGATCCGTCTGCTGAGCTTCCAGGCGGGGGACCTCGTCGTCTCCGAGGGCGACAAGTCGTCGTCCATGTTCATCATCTACACGGGCAAGGTCCGCGTGCGCCGCAACCTCGACGGCTCCGACGACGTCGAGGAGGACACGCTCCAGCCCGGCGGCTCCTTCGGCGAGAAGGCCGTCCTCGGCGTCAACTCGCGGTCCTACGTCACGGCGCGCGCGATCGCGCCGACGAACATCTACATCATCACCCAGGACAACTTCATGCAGGCCTTCGTGACGCTGCCCGAGGCGCTCCTCGCCATGCGCACGGCCGTCGACGGCCTCGACGCGCCGAAGCCGTCGACGTTCTCCCACCTCTCGCCAAACCGCCCGGGCTCCGCGCTCGTCTCGCCCGCGGTCAACGCCGCCGCGAGGAAGGCGCTGGCATAACGCGGGCTCTTCCGCGCGGGGCTCGGGCGCCCGGCGAGCGGTCGCGCGCCGTTTACGCGGGGCTAGGACTCCCGGCCGAGGCTCGCGGCGGCCGTGTCGTCCGCGTCGGCCCAGCAGCCCGGCGCGCCGTGCTTCCACCGCTCGTCGAGGGCCGAGAGCGCGCAGTCGAAGGTTTTCTTCCCGAGCTTCGCGTTCACGAGGTTGTGCTGCTCGCACGTCCAGATGGAAAAGAGCGCGCGCGACGCGAGGTCCGGCGGCGACGCCTCCACGGCCTCCCGGAAGTCCGCCGCGCAGTGCTCGCAGGGGTAGAGCGCCGCGAGGCCCGCGACGAGGCCCGCGGCGGCCGCCCGGTCGCGCTCCGTCGGCGACTCGGGGTAGTAGGCCGCCGTCGTGTGCAGCAGGTCCCACGTCGACCGGCCGAGCTCCGCGCGGTCCACGGGGCAGGCGGGCGCCGGCGCCGGCGCGGCCGCCGCCGTCGACTTCGCCCGCGCGAGGCTCTTGGAGAACATGGACATCTTGTCGCCGCAGACCGGGTTGGCGCAGTCGTCGGCGTTGAAGCCCGGCGCCATCGAGTCGTGCGAGGTGCGCTTCAACGTTGCGCGCGCTGCGACAGCGTCGGAAGCGCGCGACGCGGCGTTCTATCGTCCGCGTCGACAGTGGCGGCGGCCGCCGAGGGAGAGCGCCTCGAATCGGCCCTCGACCTGTACTACAGGCTGTAGACCGATGCCGGAGAGCGCCCCTGCGGCAATTCTTCAGCGAGCCTCAAGATGACCTAAAGCTCGACCTCACGTTCGACTCCGCGAGGCGAGAACGCAATGGAGCCGGCTCCCCTCTCTTCGAGCGATGACCTCGCGAACCCACTCCTAGAGAATACCGACGAGGGCACCGAACTCGCGAGTGGTACGGAACTCGTCGATGCCGACGGCGCGGAGCTGCGCGAGGCGCACCCGCTGGTCGCCGACGCCGAGGCGCAGCGCGCGCGCCCGCCGTCGCCCACGACCAGCAGCCCGAGCCGCGCGTCCATGGCCTCCGTCGCCGCGGCGCCCGACGCCCTCCGGGAGGGCCTCGTCGTCGAGCTCTGGCACGCGCGCCGCCGCTACGCGGCCGCCGGCTCGCACGAGCACCTCGCCCGCTACCTCAGTCGCTTCGTGGCCGGCACGTGGTGCCGCTGCGTCGTCGAGGACTTCGACGGCGAGACCTACACGCTGCGCTACGAGGACGGCCCCCACGCCGCCCGGTCGCGGGCCTTCGCGCCCGTCGCCGGGCTGCCGCGGGGCACGCGGTTCGTGCGGTGCCCCCGCGACTGCATCGAGGTCGACTACGAGGCGTCGTACTGCGCCGTGTCGCCCGAGGGCCGCTACGCGTTGAGCCACGGCGTCGTCGTCGTCCCCTTCATCGTCGCCGCGCAGCTCTTCTGCTACTTTTACTACGCGGCGCGCGAGTGCGAACGGACGGGGCGCGCGATCGAGGCCTACGCGCCCGTCGCGGGCCCCGGCGGCGACCGGTTCGCCTTCGCGGCGACGTCCCACTTCCCGGGGTGCCGGGACCTGCGGGGCCGCGAGTGGTACCGCTTCTGGACCTACCAGTGGCTCCACGAGGGCTGGGCGCACGTGTCGACGACCGCGCGGCACTCACATCTTCGACCCGACGTCAATGCGCGCGTCATCGAACGGTTCGGCCTCTTCGGCCGTGCTTCGAGAGCTCGACGAGAGCAATCGATCCGTCCAAAAATCAGCCGAATCGACGTCGATGTGGTCGAGCGAGAGCATGTCAAAGTTTGGTCGGGACGTCCCGAACCGGCGGTCGATGTCCACGCAGGTCGACGAACGGCTTCATGGCGCTCGTCTTCGGCATCCCCTTGGAAGTAGCGCACGGCGGCTGGCGCGCGGCGCTGATCATGCAGGCGGGCGTCGTCGCCGGGGCTTTGTCGTGCGCCGTTTTTGACGTGGAGAGGAGGGTCGTCGGCGCGTCCGCGAGCTGCTACGCGCTCCTCGGCGCGCACGTCGCGATCATCGCGCTCCACTGGCGGTCCATGAAGCGGGGCCTGCTGCACCGCGACGTGCGCATCGCCGTCTTCGCCGCGCTGGCGTTCTGCGACGTCCTGACGACCGCGGACCGCGCGGCGAACGTCGGCGCCCGCGCGGAACTCGAATCTTCCACCCGACTTCAACGCGCGCGTACTCGAACGGAGTGCACCACACTCTTTTTGAATGTGCTTCGAGAACTCGACGAGAGCCATCGACGTGTCTCAAAATCGGCCAAAACGACGTCGATGTGGTCGAGCGAGAGAAGTTCAACGTTTGGTCGGGACGTCCCAGAGACCCGCGGTCGATGTCCGCGCAGGTCGGCGCCGCGTCCGCGGGCTCCGTGTCGTACTCGGCGCACGTCGGCGGCCTGGCCTGCGGCTACCTCCTCGGCGTGCTCGTCATCCAGCGGCGGCCCGTCAAGGACCCCAACGTCGGCGGCCGGCGCAAGGCCGCGGCCGGCGTCGCGCTCCTCGCGCTGCTCTGCGGCGCGCTCGCGTGGATCGGGTCGCACGCCCCGCCGAAGAACGTGCCCTGGCTCTACCCGGACTCGAACGACTGGAGCCACCGCTCCTGCTGCTCGAAGCTCGACGCCTGCGCCGACCTCGAGGGGCCGACGTCGCTGCTCTCCTGCGACGACCGGACGGAGCTCGCCCTCGGCCGGACCGTCGCGCGGTCCTGCAACGAGCTCCGCGCGCTCCTCCGCAACGCGACCGACGCGTAAGAGGCGCACGCGCGTGCGACGACCGACGGCGGAGCGTATGGGTGCCGGCGGGGTCCTCCCCGGACGCGCCGGCGCGCGTCGGCGACGACGGGCCGACCGGTCGGGCCCGCGGCGGTCGAGACCCTACCCGCGCGTGTTACAGGAAGACGCGCATGGTCTGGGTGACCTTCTGCCGGCACACGGGGCAGACGCGCGCGCTCTGCTTCGCCGGGCAGGACGCGTCGACGCAGGTCGAGCAGAGCACGTGGCCGCAGGGGATGAGCGCCGTGTCGCGGGCCCGCTCGAAGCAGAAGGGGCACTCGTCGGCCTTGTCGCCGCCGGCCTTGCCCGCGCGGGGGCTCCGCGCGGGCGGCGCCTTGGGCTTGTCGCCGAGCTTCTTCTTCTCCTTGGCCGCGGCGCGGAGCGCGGCCGCGCGCGGCGTCGATGGCGTCGGCGCGGCGTCGCGGCCGCGCGGCGTCGCGGCCGGCGCGCGCGCGGCGGGCGTCGGCGGCTTGGGCGCCGCGGCGCCGCGCGGCGTGCCCTTGCTCGCGGGTGACGCCGGCGTCGGCGCCTTCCTCGGCGGCGTCGCGGCGCCCCCGGCCTTGGGCGTCGGCGCCGACCGCGACGTCGCCGCCTTCCTCGGCGGCGGCGTCCTCGCGCGCGCGGCGGCGCCCCGGGGCGTCCGCGGCGCGCCGCGCGGCGTCCCGTCGCCGTCGCCGGCCGCCTCGTCGTCGTCGTCGTCGTCCGAGGCCGCGGCCGCGCCCGCGCGGACCTGCGCGGACATCGACCGGTGGAACGCCCCGTCCGGCGAAAACTTCTCGAGCTCGGCCACATCGACGTCGATGCGGGTGACTTTTGGACGAATCGATTGCTCGCGTCGAGTGCTCGAAGCACGGACGACGGGCTCGTGTCAAAACCGTCGCATACGCGCACATTGAAGTCGGGTCGAAGATTCGAGTTCCGCGCGGGCGCGGACGTTGACGGCGACGGGCTTCCGCCGGTTCTGCGACCGCTCAAAGGTCACGGCCCGCCCCGGCCCCGGCACCTTGCCGGCGAAGCCCGAGACGTGGACGAAGAGGTCGTCGGCGTCGGCGTCGTGGCCGTCGGGCCGGATGAAGCCCATGTTGCGGACCTTTGAGAACCAGAGGAGCTGGCCCGTCTCCGCCGGCCGCGGGCTCCCGGCGCCGGGCGCCGTTCCCGCGCCGTCGCCGCTCGGCTCCGACGCCGACGACGCGTCGTCCCGCGGGCTCTCGAGGGCGGGCAGCGGCGGGGGCGCCGCGGGCGCCGCGGCGGGCGCCGCGCCGTCGTCGCACTCGTCGTCCGACTCGGGCGGTTTCGGCGTCTCGACGCGGCGCACGGCCGCGCGGCGGCTGCCCGACGTCGCCAGGCCGTCGCAGCGCGCGAGGAAGTGGCCCATCTTCTCGAAGCCCAGCGCGCGGACGTCCAGCGCCGTCTTGTAGCGCCGGCCGTAGAGGTACGCGAGCTTCGCGCAGAGCACCGTCCTCGTCGGCGACGCGTCGCAGAGCTCGCCGATGCGGCCCTCCACGGCCGCGAGGGCGGCGTCGGGCGCGCGCCGCGGCAGGGGCGGCCGCGGCGCGCCGTCGGCGCCCTCGGCCGGCGCGGCGCCGTCGTCGTCGCGCGGCGCGCGCGCGTCGCCGCGCCGCGGCGGCGTCGCGGCCGGCGCCGCCGCGCGCGGCGACCCGACGACGTTGCGCAGGGACGCGTGGACGAGCTCCGCCTCCGTCTCCGAGCAGCCGAGCTCGACGAGGTCCGCCATGTCGAGCCGCGCCGTCGCCTCGAGGTCGAGCCGGTTCTCCACAAACAACGCGGCGAGGCGGCCGAGGTCCAGCGACGTGAGGAAGGCGACGAGGCCGTCGTAGCGCGTGAGCTCGCCGTCGCCGCCGGCGGCGAAGAGCCGCGGCGGGCTCCGGGGCGTCTCGCCGAAGCCCGGCGGCGCGGAGCCGCCGGGCGTCCGCGCGGCGCGCGGCGGCGCCGCGGCCGGCGCCGGGGCCGGCGGCGCGCCCCCGTGGCGCGGGCTCCGCATGAGGCCCGGCGGGTCGTCGCGGCGCGGCTGCGACTGCTGCGTGTCGACGACGATCTTCGGGCGCAGGAGGCCGCCGAGCGTCGCCGACACCGGCGGCGCGGCGCCGCGCGCGCCCTCGAGCAGAAAGTCGAGGTCCGGCGGCAGCGCGTCGAAGAAGGCCGGGCTCTTGAGGCCGCCGAAGCCGCCGAGGCCCACGGCCGACGGCAGCCCCATGGTGAGCTCGCGCGACGGCGACGCGACGCGCGGGCTGCCCCGCGGCGACCCGAGGGGCAGCTGCTCGACGCGGCACGGCAGGTCGCTGAGGCCCCGCGTCTCCCGGGTCAGGGGCCTCCCGTCGCCGTAGTCGCCGTAGTCGCCGACGAGGGCGCCGAAGGGCGTGTGCTGCGGCGCCACGCGCGGCTCGGCCCGCGCGGCGGCGCCGCGGCCGGACCGGCCCGGCGCGCGGATCGCGGGCGCGGCGGCGGCCTCGGGCAGGCCGCCCGCGCGGCGGAGCGACGCCGTGGCCGCCGTGATCACGGGGTCGAGGCGCGGCGACGGCCGCGGCGCCGGCGCCGGCGCCGCGGCGCGCGGCGCGGCGGCCTCGGCGGGCGCCGCGCGCGCGGGCTCGGGCGCCGGCGCCGGCGGCGCCGGCGGCGCCGGCGCCGGCGGGTCCCGGGGCGGCGCGGGCGCGGCCCGGGGCGGCGGGTCCCGGGCCTCGGGCCTCCGCGGCGCGGGCGCGGGCGCGGGCGCGGGCGCGGGCGCCGGCGCGGGCGCGGGCCGCGGCCGCGGCGGCGGGCTTCCGGGGCGGCCGCTTCCTCGGCTGGCGCTTCGGCGGCGGCGGCGGCTCGTCGTCGGAGCCGTCGTCGTCGTCGTCGTCGTCGTCGCTCGACGCGGACGGCGGCGCCTCCTTGGGCGACGGCGGCCGCGCGGCCGCGGGCGCCTTCTTCTTCTTCTTCCGCTTCTTCTTCTCGACGAGCGCGGCCTCGTCGTCGAGGAGCTGGAGCAGCTCCCGCTCCGCCGCGGACGCCTTGGCCGCGCGGTCCGCGACCTCCTCGCCGCTGAGCGCCCGCTGCTTCGCCGCGCGGCGGCCCTTGCCGCCGCCGCGGTGCCGCGCGGCCGCGTCGCGGACGGCCTCGAGCTTGGTCCGCGCGGCGACGCAGCGCGCGGCCGCGGACCCGCCGGCGTCGCGGTCCGCGCCCGCGGCCAGCAGATTGAGCTCGAAGCCCGCGGTCCAGCTCGCGGGGTCCACCGCGGCGCTCAGCGCGTCGAGCACCGCGTCCTGGCAGCGGTCGACCTGGCGACGCGAGTTCGCTTCGACGTGAGTCCGCGCGCGCGCGCGGACCGGAAGAAAAGCATCCGCGCGTCGAGACCGCGCCGAGGGACGATCGCTCGTCCAAGCATGGGCCGAAACGAGTGGGGACCGGCCGAAAGAGGAGCCTTTGAAGTTGGGAACGTCGCGCGCTTTTCCCGCGCCGCGGTCGACGTCGGCCATGCGGTGCAGCAGGGCGAAGGCGACGCGCGACGACGACGCGCGCCGCGCCTCCACGAGCCGCAGCAGGTCGGCGACGCCGTCCCGGCTCTCGGCGACGGCGTCGAGCCACGACTCGCCGACCGCGCAGCGGCACTCGTGCTGGAGCGCGTGCGCGCCTGCGTGGATATCAAATCTTCAACCCGACTTCAATGTGCGCGTATTCGAACGTTTCGACGCAAGCTCTTCGGCTGTGCTTCGAGAACTCGACGAGAGCAATCGATCGGTCCCAAAAACCAGCCGAATCGACTTCGATGTGTCCGAGCTCGAGAATTTCAAAGTTTGGTCGGGACGTCCCGAACCAGCGGTTGATTTGCACACAGGTGCGCGCCCAGCACGTGCGCGGCGACGTCGCGCGCCTCGACGCGGCCGCCGCCGTCGCCGAGCCGCTCGCCGTCGAAGCCCAGCGCCCCGAAGAGGCCCGCCTCGACCGCGCGGCCGCTGTGGAGCAGCGAGAGGAGCGGCTTCGCGTGCCGCGGCGCGTCGACGTGGACGCAGAAGTCGAAGTTCGCGATGACGGCGAGGGGCGCGAGGGCGTCGTGGTTCGCGAAGTCGTCGTCGGGCTCGGCCTCGAAAGCGCCGAGGAGCGCGACGCAGACGCGGCCCCACTCGTCGGCGCCGCAGAGGGGGCGCGGGGCCCGCGCGTCGTGGAGCCGCGCCTCGAGCGCGCCGCACGACGCCACGGCGTCGCAGAGCGCGCGCTCGTAGGGGTAGGCGCCACCCGGCTCCCGCGGCTCGGGCCGCCGGGGGAAGGGCCCGCGCCGTTCGACGAGCGCGCGGAGGTGCGCGACGGCGGCCTCGACGGCGCCCGAGGGCACGTGGCAGGGCTCGTCGAAGACCGCGAAGAGGGGCACGACGCGGCTCAGCGTACCCGCGAGCCGCGTCAGCGTGCGCTCGCCCGCGCGCCACGCGGCTTCGGAGCCGAGCGCGCGCACGAGCGCGTCGACGGCGCCGCACGCGACGACGGGCGCGAGGGCCGCCGCGTCGTCCCCCGCGCCCTCGAATCCCGCGCGCGCCTCGACGACGCGGTCCACGGCCTCGCAGAGCGCCTCGGCCGCCGCGCCGCGGCGGCCGCCGGCCGCGTCGCCGTCGGAGGGCCGCGCGCCGCCCTCGCCGGCGGCGTGGCCCGCGGACACGGCGAGCACGCCCGCGTAGAGCGCCCCGGCGCCCGCGTCCGGCGGCCCGTTCGCCGCCGCGTCGAGAAGCCCCCGGAGCTCGTCGAGCGTCGCCGTCGTCCGCGCGCGCTGCGGCGCGCGCATGCGCGCGGTCCAATCCGGCGCCGCGTCGCCGTCGCGGCCCAGGTGCAGCGCCCCGCCGTGGAGCATCTCCGCGGCGACGGCGACGGCGACGTCGCGGTCCTCGGCGCAGAGCGCGCAGAGCGCGGCGAGCGCGTCGGCCTTGGCGTGCGACGCGGGCGCGACCTCGCCCCGGCGGCAGGCGACGTCGGCGAGCGCCGCGACGCAGCCCGAGGCCACGAGGGCCAGGCGCGCGCTCGGCGTCTTGGCGAGGCCGCAGACGCCGCGGAGCGCGGCCGCCGCGTCGCCCTGCGCGTGGCGGAGCCGGCCCGGCGGCGCGCGGAGCGCGAGGCAGAGGAGCGCGAGGTGGCCGTCGGCGATGACCTTCTCGGCCCGCAGGCCGGCGACGACGTCGTCGTCGCGCGGGGCCTCGCCGCGGCGCGACCGCGCGGGCCTCGCGCAGAACGCGCCGATGAGCCGCGCGCAGAGGTGCGTGCCGTCGACGACGGCGTGCTGCGCCTCGACGGCGTCGTTGCCCAGGCGGTCCACGTGGAGCACGAGGCGCCGCGCCTCGTTCTTCGACTCGCGGAGGCGGCAGCAGCCCGCGAGGAGCGCGCCGAGCGGCGCGGGCGCGGGCGAGCCGCGCGGCCGCCGCGACACCGCGACGAGCTCGCGGAGCACCCCGTCCGCGTCGACGGCGTCCGCGACGGTGCGCAGGGCCCGCACGGCGGCGAGGGCCGGCCGCCGGCACCGCGCGTCGTGGTCCGCGACGAGCGCGACGAGCGCGGGCACCGCGAGGTCCGCGGATCGCGACGCGTAGAACGCCGCCGCGCTCGGCGCCTGGATTCGATGTCGCTTCGACGCGAGCGTGCCGCGCGCGCGCGTTCCGGGAAGAAAGCACCCGAGACCGCTCCGAGAGATGATCGCCCGTCCAAACATCAGCCGAAACGAGCGGGAAACGGCCGAGGGACGAGCCTTTGCGAAGTCGGGAATGTCGCTCTCTTTTCCCGCCCCGCCCGCCGCCGGCCGCCGGAGCAGCGCGCGGTAGGACCGGCAGGCCTCGTACTTGGCCCGGCTCCGGTTCGACGCCGTCGCCAGCGCGAGGAGCACGGCGTCGACCGCGCGCCGGCCGCAGGCCTCGAGCGTCGAGCCGACGAACGCGCGCGCGAGGCGGCACGTGGACGCGAGCGCGGCGACGTCGCGGAGCCCCGCGCCCCGGCCCGGCCGCCGCTTCGCGAGTTCGACGTCGTCCCCAAAGGCCTCGTCGTCGTCCGCGTCGTGTTCGCCGTCGTCGTCGTCCTCGCCGTCCTCGGAGTCGCCGTCGTCGCCGAGCGCGCGGCCGCGCTCGTCCGCGCGCTTACTGAGGAAGCCGCAGACGTGCGACGCGACCGACGGCGACCGCGGGCCCACGCCCGGCGCGGACCGCAGCCCGAAGTCGGACCCCCGCAGGAAGAAGACGAGGGCCGCGCGCTCCCGGGGCGACGCGCCCTCGATCGCGTCGCTGACGACGCGCACGAAGCGCGCGCCGTCGAGGCCGTGCGTCCGCGTGCGGCTCGCGAGCTCGCAGTAGGTGCGGCCCGTCGCCGCGAACTGGCAGGACGTGCCGCTGAGGTCCACGAGCACGACGCCCCGCAGCTCGTCGCACGCTCCCGACCCGCCGCCGCACGCCCAGACGCAGCGGCGCCCGCTGCAGAAGTAGAGGCCGCCGCGCGCGGGCACGGCGTCGGCGGGCAGGGGCCGCGTCTCGACGAGGGTCGCGACGGACGCGCACCGCTCCTTCGCGCTCTTCGGGCTCAGCACCATGGGTCGTGCGAGCGCGCGGCGCACCGAACCCAATGGATGGAGTTTCGGGCCGGCCGAGCGGTCGTTTCTTGACGGCTCGCCGAGGGGCGGCCCGCGAATGCGCCGAGGGCCGAGACCGCCGGCGACCGCCGGGCCTCGACCTCGCTTGCGAAACGCGCGACCGACGGGCACGCCGAGGAGAAGCTGTCGAGCGAGAGCGTCGGCCGGGCGGGCTGCCTGCACGAAGATAATTCGGCTTCAACGTTCTAACGTGCCGCACAGTCTTTTGCCCTCGCAAGTCATCGCGTCTGCCCGCCCGCAGGAGCGGCCGATCGACGCGCCACTGCCCCTGCGAGCGTCGTCGCCGACGTGCGCGCGCCCTCCGCCGGCGTCGCCGCCCGACCGCTCGCCGCGGACTTCCGCGGCGCCCGTGTCGGAACCATGCTCGCGGAGAGCGGCGACGTCGAGGCCGACGACATCCACGGCCTGCTCGCCGAGGAGACGCTCGAGGGCACGGGCGAGTTCGGCGCCCAGGGCCCCGGCGCCGGGGCCGGGGGCATGTGCTCCTGCCTGTCCATCGCCTACTACCGCCCGTTCTTCGACGTCGACACGGACGAGGTCCTCGGGCGCGTGCGCGCCGCGCTCCTCTTCTGCCACAGCGAGCCGTTCCTCCGCGTGCTGCGGAACAAGCCCGACGCCTACGGGCCCTGGTGGATCGCGACGACGCTCATCTTCCTCATCTCCGTGACGTCGCACTTCAAGGCGCTCCTGAGCCTGGGAGACGACTACGAGTACGACTTCGCGGCGGTCACGTTCAGCGCCATGGCCGTCTACACCTACCTGGGCCTGGCGGCCTTCACGTCCTGGCTCTGCCTCAACTACTGGCTCAAGGTGCCCATGGCGCTGCTGAACTGCCTCTGCATCGTCGGCTACTCCCTGGTGCCGTACCTGCCCGCGTCGCTCGCGTGCGTGCTCCCCTACATGGCCTGGCCGGCGGTCCTCGCCGCCGCGGGCGCCCAGACGGCCTTCAGCCTCAAGGCGGCGCTCCCGGCCATCGAGCAGCACCCGAAGGAGAAGGCCGCGGTCTACGCCGGCGCCGTCGTCGTCCTCAACGTCGGCCTCATGCTCATCATCAAGCTCTACCTCTACTAGGCCAAATGCGCGGGGGATAACGCGCCACACACTGCGACCCCTACCCCAGCATGAGGGACCCGAGGCACGCGCGCGCGACGTCGGGCGGGTGCGGGTCCCGCGGCGCCTCCCAGGCGCCGCCGCGCAGGTAGAGCGTCGACTGGTCGCCGCAGAGCACGACGGCGCCCGCGTGCGACGCCGCCGCGCACCACGCGTGGACGCGCGGCGGCGGCGCCGCCGACCCGCGCGGCCCCGCCCGCGGAAGGGGGGGCGCCGCCGCCCAGGCGTCCGTCCGCGGGTCGTAGCGCAGCGTGGACGACCACGCCGCGCGCGTGCCGCGCGTCCGCCCGCCCATGACCAGCAGCGCGCCGTCGAGCTCCGCGGCCGCGGCGCCGTTCCGCGGCTCGGGCAGGTCGCGGAGCACCGTCCACGACGCGCCGTCCCAGGCCTGGAGCTTGGCGGACGTCACGCCGCCGGCAACGTAGAGCACGCCGCCGACGACGGCCGCGGCCGCGGACCACGCGGGGAAGGGCATGGGCGGGAGCGGCCGCCAGGCGCCGTCGCGCCACGCCTCGACGGACGCGAGGGGCCCCGACCGGAGGTCGCCGCCGCCGGCGACGACGAGCGACCCGGCGACGACGCCGCACGCCGCGCCCTGGCGGCCCTCGCGCATGGGCCGCAGCGGCCGCCACGCGTCGATCGACGGGTCGTAGGCCTCGGCGCTCGCGAGCGCGTCGCCGCCCGAGGACCCGCCGGCGACGACGAGCTCGCCGCCGACGACACCGGCGCAGGCGAAGGCGCGCGCCGTCGCCATGGGCGCGATCGCGTCGCAGCGGCCGCCGACGACGCGCCAGCACGCGGCCGTCGCGCGCCGCCGCGCGACGCCGCCGGCGACGACGAGCGCGGCCTCGGCGCAGCCCAGGGCGACGCGCGCGCGCCGAAAGCCCGCGGAGCGCAGCACGTCCCGTGCCCGTCGACAGGTCGCGCGGAGCGCGCCCTGCGACAGCAGCGGCACGCGCGCGAAGACGGCCGTGAGCACGTCGTCGCTCTCCCACTCGAGCAGCGGAGCCATGCTGCGAGCGGCGCTGCGAAGACGGACCGCTCAAGCGGCGCTCGGCACGTGAACTAGTTCAGCCATAATGCCTCGACCTCGATTAGCCGATGTTGCAGACAACATTGAACAAGTCGTACGCAGCGTAGCCCACGGGCTCTGCCACTGTCGAGCGCGTAACGGAGGCCCGTGCGCCGGGCGCGCGCGCGCGTCCCCCGGGGCTCAGTCGAGGTCGCCCATCTCGACCTCGGGCGCGGCCGCGGCCGCGGCGGGCGCGGGCGCGGGCTCGGGCGCGGGCGGCGCGACGTCGGGCTCCTCCGGGGCCGCCGCCGCGGGCGGCGGCGCGGGCATGGGCGCCGCGGCGTTCTCGTAGAGCGGCGAGATGCCCGTCGGCAGCGGCGCCGGCGCGGCGGGCGCGGGCGGCGCCGGCGCCGGCGCGGCCGGCCGCGGCTGCGCGCGCGTCGGCTCGTCGTCGCCGTGGGCCTCGCCCTCGCCCTCGTCGCCCGGGTCGTCGTCCTCGTCGAGGGCGCGGAAGCCGCAGACGAACCAGCA